TATAACGGGAGACAATACAGCAACAATAGAGTTCTATACAAGAGGGATAGGAGGGCCCTGATCCTTGGAGCTTACAATCTAGGAGGGAGGGGCTAGTGGTACAAATGGTAATAACTGTGGGGGATGGACTGGTAGGAGGAGTAGAAGATTCCAGTATTAGCTGAGGGCAGGATAGGCTTCCCTGAAGAGAGAGGTTTTCAGAAATCGCCTAAAAGTGGGCAGAGTAGGCGATAGTCTGATAAATTGGGGTAGAGAGTTCCAGAGGATGGGGGAAGCTGTGGAGAAGTTCTGGAGACGAGCATGGGAGGAGGAGACAATTGAAAGTGTTGTTTAGGTTTGACCTCATATTATATGGTTATATTATATAGTTTTTGGAAAATCTAAATCTAAATCTCTGCCAATCCCTCCACTGGCTTCCAATTGCAAAACACTAACACTGACATATAAAGCCATTCATAACACTGCCCCAAATTACATTACCGATCTTGTCTCTAAATACCACCCAAACCGTACTCTCTGTTCCTTGCAAGACCACCTACTGTCTAGCTCCCTTGTCTCCTCCTCCCATGCTCCTCTCCAGGATTTCTCAAGGGCTTCACCCATCCTCTGGAACTGCCTACCCCAATCTATCAGGCTATCGCCTACTCTGCTCACTTTTAGGTGCACTCTGAAAACCCATCTCTTCAGGGAAGCCTATTCTGACCCCAGCTAATCCTGGAATCCTCTACTCTTCCTACCACTCCATCCCCCACAGCTAATTACCTTTTGTACCACTAGCCCCTCCCTCCTAGATTGTAAGCTCCCAGGATCAGGGCCCTCCTAACCCTCTTGTATTGAACTGTATTGTTACTGTACTGTCTCCCTCCATAATGTAAAGCGCTGAGCAAACTGTCGGCGCTATATAAGTCTTGTATAATAATAAAGCAATTTTCTAAAAAAAATTGTATAGTGTATGGCCAGCCTAAGAAGCCGATTGATTACTGCGCACAGCTGCACCAGATTCAGAGTGCTCCAGTTTTAGTAAATCTATCCCATGGAGTCCGCCCCGTGTGAAAGGGGCCTAACAGTGTATCTGTCTGATAAGTACCTCCTGTATATGTGTGTCTCCTGTTTATAAACTGGAGCAATGGAAAGCGTCTTTTATTTCCTATAGTAACCAACCAAATCCACACAGTCATGTGTCTGGTGCATATTAGAAAATGCCGATTTTGGTTGGTCACTATACACAGCACAAGGTCAGTTGCTTTGAACACCAACATTTATGTCATACGTTTTCCGAGCAGACAAACGTCTTATCTAGATTTGTGCTTACACAACAAAACATGACTTCAGAAGCTTGGCTCTGCGCCCTTCACATGAGCCAGTACAGTGACCCGAGGCTCAAACACCAGACAATCTCTACAAATGCTGTCATGAGGTGCCTGCAGATTTATAGGGAACCTGGAGCCCTTTATGGTTGGGTGTCTATTGGTGTTTTAGTGTTCTTATGCTAATTAAAGAACCAGCAATCACCCATCATAGTTTGCTAGCGACTATTGATTGCACGCTACACATAGAGAGTAATAGAATGTAGCATGTAGAAGCAACTAATCACTATAGATCAGGGGCGGACTGACAACTCATGGGGCCCCCGGGCAATAGGGGATCATGGGGCCCCTGTGTTCTTGCCCAAACTCAAAAAAGCCTATGAAAACGGTACCAGGGGCATCTCATGGGGCCCCCTACTGACCCCGGGCCCTCGGGCAGTGCCCGAGTTTCCAAATGGTCAGTCCGCCCCTGCTATAGATCACACAATGCTATAAATGATTGTGCTTCAAGTCGCCACATTTATCATCGAGTGAAATTCCATCTATTTTGCACATTGGCCTGATTCCGACACGTCCCATCAGGGGGTTGTTATGGTGCTCCCTAGTTGCCCTTGGTTCCTGGCAGGGGCAGACTGACAACTCATGGGGCCCTCAGGCAATAGGGGATCATGGGGCCCCCAGGCAATAGGGGATCATGGGGCTCCTGTGTCCTTGCCCAAACTCAAAATAGCCTATGAAAAAGGTACCAGGGGCATCTCATGGGGCCCCCTTTTGACCCCTGGCCCTCGGGCAGTGCCCGAGTTTCCAAATGGTCAGTCCGCCCCTGGTTCCTGGTGATCTACATCTGACCACTCTTGCTTTCTTGGATGGTGCATTCCGCCGGACCTGGATCCATGTCTCTCATCCCGCATGCCATTTATTTTACACATTGCTCTGACACGTTATTAAACTTTCCTTGTCTTTATGCCCCCTGAAGAAGATCTAAAACGTGGAATGATCGAAACGCGTCGGAATAATGTTTTCTTCCTATTTGAGTGGTCTTTGACCTTGTGCAAAGAGTCTTTTTGTAAAGATTACTGTCGGAGCGATCCTTTAGAAAATTATCTATTTTATATAAAATATGTGTATGTAATAAAGCTGATAATCTTTTTCATTTCAGGTTGCAAAGCAACAAAATATGATTATTTTAGAGAGGTGATTCTTTTCTATAGTTACATAGTTAGTCTGGCTGAAAAAAGACAAAAGTCCATCCGATTCAACCATAGAAAAAAAAAAAGTTATAATCCTATACCCACAGTTGATCCAGAGGAAGGCAAAAAAACCCAGCAAAGCACAATCCAATTTGCACCTGCTGGGAAAAAAGTCCTTCCTGATCCCCCGAGAGGCAATAATGTCTTTTTTGATATATGTGTAATTTCTAAATTCCCATTGGGGGGGGTCTTCTGCTGCACTGTACATTTGATAGACTCTTAACCCTTTCCAGCCCAGTCCTGCTTCACAATAAAAAGTTCTGAACACCAGGGGGCAGGAAAGATCAGCCGATCAAGTAACCAGGGTGATTGGCTGTCACAGTGGTCACATGATCGGGAGCAGGTATCGCCAGTTGCCAACCATTAGCGGGCACCAAGAGCTGTCTTTCCCAGCTTGGTCTCCCACTGGCCACCCAGTGATGCATTGAAGCCTACCATTTTTCTGTCCCACATCAGTGTTAGGTGGTTGTGAAGGGGTTAAAGATGAACCTAAGGCAAACAGCTAAATGCACAGGGGAAATGCATCTAAGTTTCATTCTCACAGTCTTACCTATGAATAGGGGCACCCATGTGAATGAGGGCTAAGGACTTGTGATTACCTGCCATAGGACTTGTAATTTTGTTCATACAGTTGTGAGATTTACACAGCTTTGCCAAACAGCACAGTCCGGTCTAGCAGGGTAGAAGACTGCAGCTCAGTAACACTTAGTTACATAGTTAGTCTGGCTGAAAGAAGACAAAAGTCCATCCAGTTCAACCATTAAAAAAAAAAAAAAGTTATAATCCTATACCCACAGTTGATCCAGAGGAAGGCAACCAAAACCAGCAAAGCATGATCCAATTTGCTCCTGCTGGGAACAAAATTCCTTCCTGATCCCCCGAGAGGCCCTTTTCACATGGCGAAGACTCCATATTGATCAGCAGATCTGTCCGCTAATCCCCTGCTGATCAGAGCAGAGCGGGTGGATGACAGCTCCATGTCCGCTCAGTTAATGCAGAGCAGACACAAACAGAGCCCGTTCTGCTGTATGGGAAGCTGGGAGTAAACGAACTCCGCTGTCTGTTTACACTCATCCGCCCTCTGATCCGATCCGCTTCAGTGGAGGAGGACAGATCCCCTTCTGTTTTGTTTTTGGGGACCGGATCAGATCGGAGGTAGGCAAGTGTAAGTGGGCACAAGTCCATATACATCCACTGGTCCATGTAGGTGAATGGACTGTCCTATCAGGTCCACCTGAAAACTGACAGTTGGGCTCTTCGTGTGAAAGGGGCCTTACAGGTTTTCTCCCTCCCCCAGCCTATGAAAGGAGAAGCACCTGATTGATGAACTTACAACTGCTTGCGTTTAAAAAACACATTTCACGATATATTAATGAACACAGAGCTGCATTATTTTTTTTAAACAATAAAAAAAATATATAAAAATTATTATATATCACTCCAAAGTATTAAAATAAAATATATATATGAAATTATACATCCCATTCCAAATAGGTGAAAAAATATTAAAAAAATCTCTGAAAGTCCTCTTTCCAAAGAAATGAAACGTGCTTCCACCAAAGATAGTGCTCAAAAAATATACCGCACTCACCAGATACTGGTGAAAAAAATGCCTTTATGGTTTTTTGGGATCCTAGACCCAGTCAGTAAGCCTCCAGATCTCCACTCCAATCCAGAGTATATCCAACCTCCAGGATCACCAGACTCCACCACTCTCCAAGAACACTGAGGGGCTTATTCTGGGGACTAATCTACTGATAAGAAGCTGGTGTTTCTGTATGGTGGAGGAATCACAAAGAGTCACAAAGAAGTATATCTGGTTCTATATGCATATTCTGGAAACAAGCCCCTCAATGTTCTTGGAGAGTGGAGACCGGTGATCCTGGAGGTTGGAGGTTGGCTATACTTTGGTGGAGTGGAGATCTGGAGGCTTACTGACTGGGTCTAGGATCCCAAAAAAAACCCTAAAGGCGTTTTTTTTCACCAGGATCTGGTGAGTGCGGTATATTTTTTGAGCACTATCTTTGGTGGAAGCACGTTTCATTTCTTTGGAAAGAGGACTTTCATAGATTTTTTTTTATATTTTTTCACCTATTTGGAGTGGGACTTATAATTTAATATATATATTTTATTTTAATACTTTGGACTGATATAGAATAATTTTTTTAATATATATACATTTTTTTGCGCTGTTTTTATTGTTTAAAAAAAAATTTTTTTTTGGTGTGGGTTTGCACTGATGAGCAGCAGCATTTATTTGTATATTTAATTTGTTTAATTTTGGCACTGGTGATTTATGTTTAAAACAGAGATGCATTAATTTGTGTCTTCAGCTGTACATCTTCATCTCTTATCCCTAAAAAAAACCTCTCCCATTCACAGTTGGGTTAAATTATGTGAAAGTCAAGAGATCTGCAATAACATCTTCTCTGTCATCTCCCAGCCAAGGAGTCATTTCCCCGCCAGGGACCTGTCTCCCCAGTCGGATGAGTACATACTGGACCTCCTGGAAACCACAGAGAAGAAGCTGCAAAAACTCTTAGAGGAGCTGGATGGCCAGGATGTTGCAGCCGTCCTCAAACAGATGGAGGAAGAAGAGGTGAGCGTCTTGGGAAACAAGGAGTGTCTCCTGCAGCTCACAATGTTCACATCTCTTCTTACCTATAACATATTTGCTGTGCACCTTCTCTGCTGTATTAAATTACCTCCATTTCTGCCTTTTCATAATTCCTAATGTCGCTTTGTCATTGTGTTTAGGCCTGGACTGATAATCTGGGAATTGTGGCTAATGCATGTTGTTGGTCTTTTGGGACATTTTAGGGACTGTTGCCTTAACCACTTCAAGTCAGGACCAGGGGCGGACTGACAACTCATGGGGCCCCCGGGCAATAAGGGATCATGGGGCCCCTGTGTCCTTGCCCAAACTCAAAAAAAGCCTATGAAAAAGGTACCAGGGGCATCTCATGGGGCCCCCTACTGACCCCGGGCCCTCGGGCAGTGCCCGAGTTTCCCAATGGTCAGTCCGCCCCTGGTCTGGACACTTTCACCCCCTTCCTGTCCAGGCCAGTTTTCAGCTTTCAGCACTATCACACTTTGAATGACAATTGCGCGGTCATGCAACACTGCACCCATATGAATTTTTTTGTATTTTTTTTTGAGACAGATAAAACTTTTTTTGGTGGTATTTATTCACCGCTGGGATTTTAATTTTTTTGCTATATAAATGAAAAAGTCCAAAAATTTTGAAAAAAAAGTGTTTTTCTTATAAAATATTGAAAATAAATAATATTTCTTCATAAATCTTGGCCAAAATGTATTCGGCTATCTTTTTAGTAAAAAAAAAATAAAAATAACCCAAATTAGTTTATAACCAAAATTATAATTTTTCAAAAAATGTTTTATATTATTATTATTTTTTTTTTTTTACATTCCACCACCCTGGTGACACTGTACTACTTGTGGGGGGTGATGAAGATTTTTTTTTTTTTTTTTACACTGATTGCTTTTACATCTATAAAGGTTGTAAAAGCAATAATTGCTCCCCTTTTTCTGGCTGCATTCTTGCAGCCATTGATAAATACTGTGTGAGCTGTGATTGGTCACAGCTTGTCACAACGTACAAGGCTGTTGTGAATAGCCGTCTACCATGTGACCTCTGTGATCATTCACAGATTTCACACGTAGTAAGCAATGATGTCAGGAAGTGACATCTTGTTTACTACTGTTCCTGTGATCACGGATTGGCCAATCGGTGATCACATGAATCGGGACCTCACACAGAGGTCCCGCACAGCGATCGGATCACAGCACAGTGAGCGCGCACAGGCAGTTAATGCGGAAGCCATTTATAAACGGCCGCCTGCTCCTGCACTGCTCCTGTCCCGCGGGTTATGTACATGGTCCAGATGGGAAGTGGTTAAAGAAGAATTATGGGTAAATTTATGGTTTAAAATTTTATATAACTCTTCAGGGGATCAAGTACATGTAGTACTTGTCCCCATTCTGACTGGGGGCCTTGTTGTCCCAAAAACGCACCTCTATATGCCCCCCTTCTGTAAGCTGCTTGTGCAGGGGCGGACTGACAACTCATGGGGCCCCCGGGCAATAGGGGATCATGGGGCCCCTGTGTCCTTGCCCAAACTCAAAAAAGCCTATGAAAAAAGGTACCAGGGCATCTTATGGGGCCCCCTACTGACCCCGGGCCCTCGGGCAGTGCCCGAGTTTCTAAATGGTCAGTCCGCCCCTGTGCTTGTGTATTCATTATAGTAAAAGACCACTTAGAGCTGTGGCTCTGTGTAAAATATCAGCCGCTGTCCTGTGTGAAGTAAAAGCAGCAGCAGACACATTACACAGAGCTGCAGCTCTGAGAGATCTTTTACTATTATGAATGAACAAGCAGTGTTGATCATTCATTCATAACAGTGACAGATGCCTCAGTGCTGTGAGATCCTTCGGTCTGGCTGTGTATTGATAAAAGCAGCTGCTGGTGGACACACAGTGCCATTCGCTGTGTGATTTTGTTTTTGAATGGCAAAGCTGATCTCCAGAGTGGCCCCTGCTGCCAGGGACCAGATCTGTCAATCACATATCCCTCTCCTTTCCAGAAGTTTTGTCAGACAGGAGGGGGAAACCTGTCAGACCATGCTTCTCAGAAACTATGGGACGGATTTGAATGGGACCAAGGGTTATATGCACTTGTCCCCTGGGGTGTTAAATAACATTCAAACATTCGAGGAGATTTACTAAAACTGGTGCACACAGAATCTGGTGCAACTGTGCATAGTAGCCGATCAGCTTGTAACTTCGGCTTGTTCAATCAAACTTTGCAAATAAAACCTGGAAGCTGATGCTTACTATGCACAGATGCACCAGATTCTGGGTGCACCAATTTTAGTAAATTCCCCCCGTTGTGTTCAGCCCATGGACACACGCGTTACATAGTTAGTCTGGCTGAAAAAAGACAAAAGTCCATCCAATTCAACCATAGAGTATGGACATTAAAGAGGAACTTCAGTTTGTTTTACAAGGGCCTGGAGTCCAGCGATGTCTTCCTGCATCCAGTTCATCTAACTGTTCCAAGTCCCTTGCGCCGCCATTTTGAATATGGTAGCCGACCGTGGCTTCCTGAGGAACCACATCCGGCTCCCCACTGCGCATGCATGAGCTTGTGTAGCGCTTTGTGAATAGGGGAGGCGGTGAGGCAAGAGATGTCAATCTCACCTAGGCGAGAAATGAGGAAGTGGGAGCAGGGGCTGATAAAAATTGGTTTTCGTTCCACCCCCTTTTTGAGTGCAGTTCCACTTTAATATATTTACATATTCTTGAGGAACAGTAAAAGAGCTTTAAAGTAGTTTTAAAGGCTTAAGGTTTTTTTCATGCATTGTATGCATGAAGGTAAAAAAAACCTCTGTGCAGCATACTTCCCATCCCCCCTAATACTCACCTAAGCCTCCTCTCGATCCAGCGATGTCCACTGCAGTCTCGGCTATCTCCTCTTTGACTGAGACAGAAGTGGCAGCCAGCAGCTCTCACTGCTGTCAACTACAGCCAGTGAGCCAATGAGAAGAGAGAGGGGGGTGAGACCGAGCCATAGCTCCATGTGTGCATGGACACACGGAGCAGCAGCTAAGGAATGCGCATGCTCGGGTTCCCCATAGCAAGTTTCTTGCTGTGAGGGCACCCGGCAGGAGGGAGGGGCCAGTAGCGCCAGCGGGGGACCCAAGAAGAGGAGGATCCGGGCTGCTTTGTGCAAAGCCACTGCACACATCAGGTAAGTAAAGACATGTTTGTTATTTTTTTTTTACAAATTTAAGCCTTTAGAATCACTTTAAAATAAGCCCTCACTGACCTCTTTAGCTGCTTGTATTGTGAAGTAATTCATCCTCAAACACCACAACAAAGTTAGTCTGTTTTTAACACCTGCTGCGTGTTTACATTAGAAGTGAAATGGAGCAAGAAATACAGTATATGTGTGCACCTGTTATGTTTACTGTATTTAGGGGATATTTATCATTTGTATGTTCATATTTGTAGCCCTTATGAAGAAGCAGTGTTTTGGCACCCCAACCATGAAATATTTATGTAATGGTACACATTCTGGGTACCCACTGGGATGGAGTCCTGGGTACCCACTGGGATGGAGTCCTGTTTTATGTGAGCAGCTTTACCAGAGCCAGTGAACTTAAAAAAAATAGTGTCCCCCATACCTTCTTTAAAAACTAAGTATTTACAGTAGGTACCAGCACCTCTGGGAGTTATCTTTTTGGAGGACATGAGAAGACTGACATACTGCCAAGATTCTGAAGCAATAGAAATAGGAAAAAAGTTTTCAGTGCCTGTGTTGTTAAATTTGAAGATGAATTTATCCAAGATACCTATAGCTAAACAGGTGAATTATGGCTTGTTTTAAAGTGTTTTTCCTCCTCCTTCAGAATCTGTAAATCATTTTATCGTCCCTAGTCTGGGCACAGGTTCATTTGCATACATTTACTGTATGTTGCGATCCTGCTTTTTTTTAGCTCGTTTGATATTGACCCTCCCCACGTTTTCATGTCACGGCTGATTTATATGCTGAGAATTTTGTGTACAAATATCCACTGGAGTCACTCTAAACTTCTTGTAACTGTAGTGCAGAGTGTCCTCTGTAGTCCTTACTAGGAAGGGCAGATTAAAAAGGATGATGAGGGCATCAGTGAAGGCAGTATGGTATCTTCATAGGTGTTTGTTTATTTGTATCAGAAAAGCGTACTGCTCAGTCAGTTGGCTGACCTGCATGTTAGTAAGCTCTTCTGGGGAGGAAAGTAATGCGATGGCTCAGGGTTCTTTGTAAATGTTGAAAATTAACAAAATAAATGCATATGTACATTAAGACAACCTTGTTATCTCTTCCTAAGTCTATGTTTTATCACCAGTTCCAGGCCAAGATAGAGGGCAAACTTCCAGCCCACAACGTACGCATCTCACTTCCAGCTCCCACCAAGCAGGATTCATTTGAAGGTAAGGAGCAATTTATAGATATTTTACCGCTGTGTCCAGGGGCGGACTGACAACTCATGGGGCCCCCGGCCAATAGGGGATCATGGGGCCCCTGTGTCCTCGCCCACACTCAAACCACACCCAAAAAAGCCTATGAAAGGTACCAGGGACATCTCATGGGGCCCCCTGCTGACCCTGGGCCCTCGGGCACTGCCAGAGTTCCCCAATGGTCAGTCCGCCCCTGGATGTGTCTTACCCTATCCAACGTAAACAGAATAGATACAGTAGTCATAGGTCTCTCACAATAGATAAGTCAGGTATGGGAGCATGCTCCTGTATCTTCAGAAGATCACTGACAAGATCTTCCTATCGGTGCACATCTCCTCTATTCAGTCATGTAGCGAGTCCCATTCTTCTTGCTGTACCTTCTTTAAAAGAAATGGAAGAATCTAGCAGGAAATGTGAGATCTGGTATTCTAGCCCTGAGGAAGTGAGGAAAATGTAGGAGCCCAGATGGACAAATCTTGCCATTGAAGTCTACTTTACAAATAAGATGTCTGTGGGTAAGTCAATCCACTGGCATAGGTGATCTTAGCCTTTATTTGCTCTCCCCTATCTACTCAACCTCCACCTTGCCACTTTTTCATTTTGGAAATATGGTGCTTGTACCTTCTTTAAAAGAAATTGAAGAATCTAGCAGGAAATGTGAGATCTGGTATTCTAGCCCTGAGGAAGTGAGGAAATGTAGGAGCCCAGATGGACAACTCTTGCAATTGAAGTCTACTTTACAAAGATGTCTGTGGGTAAGTCAATCCACTGGCATAGGTGATCTTACCCTTTATATATCCTCCCCTATCTGCTCAACCTCCACCCTGCCACTTTTTCATTTTGGAAATATGGTGCTTGTACCTTCTTTAAAAGAAATTGAAGAATCTAGCAGGAAATGTGAGATCTGGTATTCTAGCCCTGAGGAAGTGAGGAAATGTAGGAGCCCAGATGAACAACTCTTGCAATTGAAGTCTACTTTACAAAGATGTCTGTGGGTAAGTCAATCCACTGGCATAGGTGATCTTACCCTTTATTTGCCCTCCCCTATCTGCTCAACCTCCACCCTGCCACTTTTTCATTTTGGAAATATGGTGCTTGCTCCTGGGTAAGGCAGGTGAACATATTCCCAGATTCCAGGGACAGTCTTTTTGTAGTTCTCAGAGAGGGAAGTTGAACAACACTACGAAAAGGCTTCGGAGTCTCAGCACAGCGGATTGCATAAGCCTTGGGGTTAAAGGTATATGAAGTGGACTTTTACACTTTAGCAGAGTTGCGGTGTTTCCAGGGTTGAATTAGCAGTCCCCTGATTTTAGATATTCATGTTAATTTTTAATAGCTACCAGCCAATTTACTGAGCATTGGCAATCAAGCTGTAGATAGCTGCTACTTACTAATCACCAGAATAAGACATCTTTGATGTAATATGAAACAAACACCCGATACTGATTCCTGTCCTATCCCCTCTATCAACAGATGAAGAAGACAGTGGAGAGGATGAAGGTGATGTGGTGACCAGAGCTGCTTTGAAGAGACAATCTCAACAGATTATAGAATCCAAGACCAAGAGAAAATCCCGTCCCAAGAAGAAAAAGGGGAAGCAATAAAGTTAGCAACAAAACCGAATAAAAACCGGAATGTCCTACCTATCATTAAAGTTATAGTTACCTACCTGGCTTGGCATATATATTGCTTACTTTTTTAGGCTTTAAAAAGGGCTTTGAATTTTCAAGTTGTTAACAGCATGAATATGCAGGTAGTTTTCCAGAGAGGGGGCTTCCTTGAGTACTGACTTGGGGATAGAATGTCAATGGCTAGCTGACCCCCCTCCTAACTCTCTGTTGGGCTGTACACCAAACCTGAATTTCCTTGTAGTCTTGCTTGTTATGAATAGCAGGTTCCCCCATGTCCACATCTGACCCTCTGTATGCATCCTCTAAACCAAGGGGTCTCTAAACTTTGCCGTTTGAGGGCCACATCATAAATTTTACAAATATTTGCAGGCTGAAAAAATCCTCTTCAGGATCCCGATTTCATCAAGGTCCCTATCAGTGTGCCTCTTACATCAGAATCCCCTCTTACATCAGGGTCCCCATCAGAGTTCCCCTTACATCAGGGTCCCCATCTCTCCTTACATTAGAGGTGAAGACCATAGGCAGCCTCTGCTGACCCTAATCTTCATTCTGTACTCACTGTGGATACACCACTGACCCTAGCTGGGGGTCCAGTAAAGTAGCATCCAGTTGTGGCATCCAGGATGTAGCTTGGAGACTCCTGCTCTAAACACTTTTTTATTTTTATTGTAATCATGGATTATCTTCTTGCCTACTGGCCATGGTGCCACCCAATGTGGCTTACATTTTGGTTAGTAGGAGGAGGCCATTCCAGTGAACAGCCAAGAGTAGGGTGAATGTAGAAGAACGGGGTGGGAAATCTGGTTTGCACTTGTTCCCCAAGTTTTGAAGATGTAGGGGCACCATATAATGGACACGTAGACAACTTGATGTGCCTACTCAGGTATTGGAGCAGGATGGATTGAGCAGCTATTAGCCTCCCTTCTCCAAGTCTGTATCTTCATAGCAAAGCATCCAGGACTTCAGGGGTCTTGGGTCACTTTAAGTGTCTGTTTTTCTTTCCGAATATATATGGTCATTGGAATGGTTTACTAAAAGTACTATATACGAGAGTCTAAAAAAAGTTGGGTTTTAAAGTCGAGGGTAATTTGCAGTGTATTGATAGTCTTTTCAATCATTCAGTGCTAGTCAAGTGTTTGATGGGCACCAGAGCTGTACCTGGAAATGGGAGTTTATATACAGCTTACTTTGGGCAGCTGAGTTGTCTACGGGTGGGGAGAAGGTGAATTGGAACCTTTCCACAGTAAACTGGTAAAGGAGTCTCTTGGGCTCCTCAACCATTCCTCACGATGCAAAAACAGTGAAAAGCATACCCCTTTAGCCCCCAAAATCACCGTTGGGCTGTAATTGGCAGAGCTGGACGAAGGTTGGGTATGAACTTCCACAGGCTTCCAGAGAAGCTGAAGAGATATCTAGACTCTGGAAAAATGGCTCTGCTAATGGCAATAGTTCCACAACCACTGTGTAGTGCGGAAAGCAGAACTTGTTGCTGTAACTAGCAAATATGGCTGCCCCCATATACACGTCTGATCACAAATTATACTGACAAACAAAGTTTCTAAGACATTAACACATACTGTTAATATTAATAGTCAAGCTGATCTCCTTGACATGCGGTCATTAACCACTTCCCGTCCGGCCGCTGTATATAAACGGCCGGACGGTGGCAGTGCAGGGGCGGGTTGCCGTTCATAAATGGCGCCGGACATTTTGATCGGTGCGCGTTCCCTGGGAACTGATCGCTGTACGGGACCTCTGCGTGAGGTCCCGATCATGTGATCACTGATTGGCCAATCAGTAATCACATGAATAGGTGTAAGCAAGATGTCACTTCTGACATCATTGCTTACTACGTGTGAAATCTGTGAATGATCACAGAGCTCACATGGTACAAAGCTATTCACAACAGCCTTGTACCATGTGACAATCTGTGACCTATCACAGCTCACACAGTATTTCTCAATGGCTGCAAGAATGCAGCCAGAGAGAAGGAGAAATGATTGCTTTTACAACCTTTATGGGTGTAAAAGTAATCAGTGTAGAAAAAAAAAAATCTTCATCACCTCCCACAAGTAGCACGTAGTATGGTGTCACCATTGTGACACTGTACTGCTACGGTGACAGCATGTAAAAAAAAAAAAAACATAAATAATATAAAAAAAAAAAATGTAAAAGAAAATGTTTAAAAATTATAATTTTTGGTTATAAACTAATTTGGGTTATGTTTTTTTTTTTTTTTTACTAAAAAGATAACTGAAAAAATTTTGGTCAAGATTTATGATTAAATATTATTTATTTGCAAAATTTTATAAGAAAAACACTTTTTTTTCAAAATTTATGGACTTTTCCAGTTATATAGCAAAAAAAATTAAAATCCCAGTGGTGAATAAATACCACCAAAATAAAGCTTTATCTGTCTCAAAAAAATGCTAAAAAATTCATATAGGTACAGTGTTGCATGACCACGCAATTGTCATTCAAAGTGTGACAGCACTGAAAGCTGAAAATTGGCCTGGACAGGAAGGGGGTGAAAGTGTCCGGACTTGAAGTGGTTAAAATAAAAACTGCAGATTTAACTCTTTTACTACCATTGCCTTATGTATTGTAGTACATCGGAGGTGGTAGGGGTTTTACACACATCGCTGGATCGCTTTCAATCACCCCCATATGTGTTGGTCCCTCCCCTCACACGTGCCCGCCATGTTTTCCAGGCTCCACACATCCATCAACGGACCCAGGATGGGCATGGTGGGTGCTGCCAGGCAGAGGGGGAGATAGATCAGCTAACATCTGTATGCTGATGTCCTCTGCCTGATCCTGACCTGGAAACCATGTGTAAAACGTCACGTCCAGGTCCTAATGTCACTTTCCCCAGACAGTATGGCCAGGGAAGAAGTAAATGGGGGGCAATAGGTTCACTGGAGGATAGGTGAGACATCAGGGGTCTGCTGGCCCCCGATGTCTCATTAAAGAGAACCTGTCACCAAAAATGCATCACATAGGGGACTTTGTCACCTATATGATGAAAAGAGTTCAATTAAAAAAAACAATGTTTAAAAAGTGTAAAAATAAAGTTACACTCAAGCACTTACCCCCCCCCCCAAAAAAAAAAAAAAAAATTTATATTGAGCCACCCCCTCATCCCCACATACACAAATGTACAAGCAAAAATGCATGTATTGGGGACAACTACATATGAAAACGTTGATTGCACCACACGTTACATATTGCTGCAGTGAGATCGATAATCCTAGGCCCATCATTCATGGCTAACTCTAAACTGATGACCTGTAGGGGACAATTGTATACAATGGATGGCGTCCTGTCATGCCATCCATTGTATACAATGATGGTGTTCACTGTGACTGGTCAAGGCAGTCACATGATACAGACGGGGCCAATCACAGCCCATCTGTATCATGTGATCAGCTTTGCCCAATCACAGCTAATCACAACAAAAGACTGAATGAATTCATTTCATTCAGTAGCAATGATTGCAAATATCAATGAAATACATCGGTATTAGCAATCATAATGTGTTAAAAAAAAAAAATCCTTATCACTTGCCCAGAGTAGTTCACTGTTACTACGGTAACATTGCATTGCTTTGGTCACAGTATGCTGAAAAATAAAATAGTAAAAAAAGAAAAAATGTAATAAAAAATAAACAAAAATAATAGAAACATTAAAAAAATACAAATTCAATTCTTATTATTATTTTCACCAAAGAAATGTAGCAGAATACATTTTGATCTAAATTTATGAAGAAATGTTATTTATTTGCAAAATTTTATAACCGAAACGAAGAAAAGTGCGTTTTTTTTTTCAAACGTTTCAGGTGTTTTTTGTTTTATTTAGCAAAGTGGTTAAATGATATTTTAATATTGTGTAACATAAAAGCGTGGAACTACCACTCCTTTTGTTCTTTAGCGTGTCTGCTTTAATAAATGATATCATGTTTTTGGGGGGTTTATGTAATCTTCAGGCCTAAAATGATTTTCTATACATAAAAAAAAAAAACATTTCTGGCAGTGAATGGGTTAAAATGTTAAACCCGACTTTTGAAATGAGGCTAACATGGTTTGTCTTATGAGATTCTAGCGGTTGGGTTTACGTCTACTTTACATTTTATTTTTCTTGCAGTCCTCTTATCATGTTTTAGTAGGGGGTTGGGTAGAGTTGTACACCCCTCTGCTGCGTAGATCTGTTTCTCAGCAGTGATCATGGCTGGGACCTTAGCCCTTGACCCCCCCAGACATTGAACTGTGGCCTTAGAGAACAATCGTGGCTTTTTCTGAGTCCTCCCCCCCTCCATTGGCCTCAGTCGCTGTCCCGGCTTCTACGTCTCCTCTGTCCTTCTCCTCCTGCCTGATCACATCTGGGCTCCGGCCACTGGCAGGATCACGGTCTAGTGACGCTGCCGGGGATCAGAAGTGTTATGGGAACGGCGGCTGGTGACGTGATGCGCAGAGGGGAGCCATGCTGAAATGTCCTTTCTTCTGTCTGCTCCATCGCAACGAAACCCCAATTCTCTGAAAAAGGACAAATCATTTTTTGTGTTGCGCATTCCTGGTGATAGAAATCTTCAGTGTGCGTCTCAGTGTGTTTACAAGAAACCAATCTATATGATCGCTAAACATACGCAGGGAACTCCCCTAGGTTGCTCTTATATATTAACTACTTCCCGACTGCCCTATAGCAGATATTCTACTACGGGGCGGCACAGGTGCGCAAAATCACACACACATATATATACAGTTATGTTCAAAATAATAGCAGTGTGTTTGAAAAAAGTGAATAAAGCTCAAAATCCTTCTAATAGCTTTTATTTCCATCCACACAAATGCATTGGGAACACGACACATTCTATTCCAAATCAAAATTTGAAGAAAAATAGATCAAATTTGTGTTGTTCCTCTAAAAAAATGGAAGAAAAGTGAATATTAGACGGTTCAAAAAAATAGCAGTGTTTGTATTCTTCTTTCCAAACTCAAACATTCACTATATAAACTGAGAAATGTTTGAAGATTTTGCTTTCCTTTGAATGACTTAATGAATATTTGGTTGTAGTCGCACTGTTTCTGAGAACTGCTGTACATCTGTGTTGTATGGAGTCACCCAACTTCTGGCCCCTGTGATCAGGTATTCCAGCCCAGGATGATTGGACTACATTCCACAGTTCTTCTCTATTTCTTGGTTTTGCCTCAGAAATGGCATTTTTGATGTCACCCCACAAGTTTTCTATTGGATAAGATCCGGGGATTGGGCTGGCCACTCCATAACGTCAATCTTGTTGGTCTGGAACCAAGATGTTGCACGTCTACTGGTGTGTTCGGGGGCATTATCTTGTTGGAACACCCATTTCAAGGGCATTTCCTCTTCAGCATAAGGCAGCATGACCTCTTCAAGTATTCTGATGTATTCAAACTGATCCATGATCCCTGGTATGCGATAAATAGGCCCAACACTGTAGTATGAGAAACATCCCCATATCATGATGCTTGCACCACCATGCTTCACTGTCTTCACAGTGTACTGTGGCTTGAATTCAGTGTTTGGGGGTCGTCTGACAAACTGTCTCCGGCCACTAGACCCAAAAAGAACAATCTTACTTTCATCAGTCCACAAAATGTTGCACCATTTCTCTTTAGGCCAGTCAATGTGCTCTTTGGCAAATTGTAACCTCTTCAGCATGTCTTTTTTCAACAGTGGGACTTTGCGGGGACTTCTTGCAGATAGCTTGGCTTCACATAGGTGTCCTCTAATTGTAACAGTCCTCACAGGGAACGTCACACCTTCTTTCATCTTCCTGGAGCTGATTGTTGGCTGAGTCCTTGCCATTTTGGCTATTCTTCTATCCATTCGAATGGTAGTTTTTCGCTTTCTTTCATGTCTTTCAGGTTTTGGTTGCCATTTTAAAGCATTTGCAATCATTTTAGCTGAGCAGCCGATCATTTTCTGCACTTCTTTATATGTTTTCCCCTCTCCAATCAACCTTTTAATCAAGGTACGCTGTTCTTCTGAACAATGTCTGGAACGACCCATTTTCCTCAGAATTTCAGAGAGAAATGCACTGTAACCAGCATGTACAACATTTGCTGCCTTCCTTCTTTAAATAAGGGCAATAATTGCCACCTGTTTTTCAAAGACTGAATGGCCTCAATAATAGAACTCCACACTGCTATTATTTTGAACATGCCCCTTTCAATGAGTGATTCAATTACACAGAATCAGCAGCATACATGTCATGACTGTTGGGTCTGTTGGATTTCTATTACTCTACTACACCTGCTAGTAAATTATTTGCCATGTAGAAATATCATTTCTACCAAAAACAGTGATTGATCCGGTTAGTGATGTCTGACTGCTATTATTTTGAACACAACTGTATATATAATATACACACACAGTTGTGCTCAAAAGTTTGCATCCCCTGACAGAAATTGTGAAGTTTTTGCATTGATATTGAAAATATGACTGATCATGCCAAAAAATGCTCTTTTATTGATGGATGATGATCATATGAAGCCATTTATTAAATAGTTGTTTGGCTCCTTTTTAAATCATAATGATAACAGAAATGGCCCGGATCAGACGTTTCCCTCCCTGGAATGTTTGGCCTTGGTACAGACACACGAGGTGACACACACGGGTTAAAATGCCAATTAGAGGTTAATGTCCCACATCTGTGTCTTTTTGATTTGCAATTAGTGTCAGTGTATAAATAGTCAATGAGTTTGTTAGCATGACTAGGCTAGTTACTGAGCCATGGGGATCGGAAAAGAACTGTCAAAAGCCCTGCTTAACAAGGTAATGGAACTTTATAAAGATGGAAAAAGGACATATAAAGATGTCCAAAGCCTTGACTATGCCAGTCAACACTTCCACTAAGAAGTGGAAAGTTTGGGGATCTCTTGATACCAAGCCAAGGTCAGGTAGACCAAGAAAGATTGCA